GTAAAGACGTAGCACAAAATTTCATTTTTTCAACTTTGACAACAAATTACAGAAAAAGTATAAATACCACAAATATACAATTACCCCTAAACTATTCCTTATATATTTAGCTAAAATTATCTTATTCATTTATATTTGTGGTGCTGATATTTCAAGAGATACACGCAAAGAATAAAAACATTGATTTTTTTCGAGGCTTAAAATTTCATAAATTTAATTTTGATAACGAATTACAAGAAAACTATAAATACGATAAGCAAGCAATCACATTTAAACTATTTCATATATACTTATCTTTAATTAGCTTAGAAATTGATCTTTGTAGTGCTTGTGGTTCAGGAGCTATAATGTAAAGACTTTGCACAAAATTTAATTTCTTCAATTTTGACAACAAATTACTGTAATAGTATAAATAACACAAATATACAATTACCCCTAAATTATTCCTTATATGTTTAGCTAAAATTATCTTATTCATTTATTTTTGTGGTGCTGATATTTCAAGAGATACACGCAAATAATAAAAACATTGATTTTTTTTTTAGACTTAAAATTTCATAAATTTAATTTTGATAGCGAATTACAAGAAAACTATAAAGACGACAAGCAAGCAATGACATTTAAACTATTTCATATATACTTACTTTAATTAGCTTAGAAATTGATCTTTGTGGTACTTGTAGTTCAGGAGCTATAATGTAAAGACGTTGCACAAAATTTAATTTCTTCAACTTTGACAACAAATTACTAAAAAAAGTAAAAATCCCACAAATATGCAATTAGTCTTAAATTATTTCTTATATATTTGGCTAAAATAATCTTATTCATTTATGTTTGTGGTACCGATATTTCAATAGATACAAGCCAAAATATAAATACATTGTTTTTTTTTTAAATTTTCCATTTTGATAGCGAATTATAGAAAAACTATTAACATGACAAAATTGCAATTGAACTCAAAATATTCCACACATACTTAGCTTTAATTAACTTTATCATTGAGTCATTAAACCTACTAAAGGATAACGATGTTGATGGAATTAAAAGATTACAACTTTAGGATGAACTTTAAATTAATATTTAAAAAAAAAAAGGCATGCTCGAACAACGAGGATATAAATAAACTGTGGTATTGCCATGAGATTATGTAAATATATTTAAACGTATTCGGTTTAAAATGCTTAGGGTTTGAAGCATTTTTTTTATATTTTCTCTCTCTGGGTTTTAGGGAATTATGTTAATATATTAAACCAATTACGCGCGGTTGAAATTATATTTCAACAGATCAGGGAGGAGTGTGAATATCGAAGAGCCCTTGTGCGTGTGTATGAGAACGACCCTTATTTGCATATCGAGAGGGAGGAGAGCAGCAACGAATGAATGAAATGCGACGGAGGCAAGTAGTGAATAGGGGATGAGGAGAACGGAGAAAGACAGAGGGAGAAGAGCACTTGGTCGGAATAAGCTCCCATTCTTGCGGACAAATATTTGAGCAACGACGACGGGAATTTCATAAAAATGGATTTCATTACGTAGGCTTCTGCTGCAGCCTCGGAGGGGGAATCCCCTTGTATTTAATTCTAAACATCGCATGGTGCGTGGACCTGGAACCTGAAAGATAGGAAAGATTCAGGCCCGAACAGTTTATTTTCTTCACCTAATTCCTTTTCATTATTATTTTTTTGCAGCTTTTAATTTGATCACCGCCTGCAGAAAGTTTCTCTTAATCCTCCTCGGCTCACTTACACAGTCCATTTCGCGCAATGATATCGCGCCATTATAATTTCGTCTTCCGCTTCCCTCATTTCCTTAATCTTTTTCTTGTCCTCTCGGCGCATAAAACTTTATAATTGATCCCACTCTCTGCTACGTTTAGATCGGTTGCTCTTTTCTTTTTAATACATTTTTTCTCTTCTCATTCTTCTCCACCTCCTCCTCTCGTCCAGACATAATTTGCCTTGCTGCAATTAGATCGAACGCACAAGAGATTAAAGAACAAAAAAAATGGAAATTTTTCTCGAGAAAAGTTACAAAAAAAAAGTAATTATACAGATTTCAGTCGAATATTAATGTTTTTTTTCAAGAAAATCAGTTATCCAATATTCAGAAATGATAACGAAGAATCATATTAATCTTATATATAAANNNNAAAGCTAACTGAAAATGAAATTGTAAACAGAGGAAATTGTAGATATTTCCTTCTTCGCTGATGGAGTTTCATAACGGATGGATTTTCGCTGCGCGGCGTTAATATCCCTGTGTAATGAGACATTCTGAAATTCGGGAATGAAAACGCATACCTGGCTAACAGCATTTCCGCCGTTCCGTAAAATAAAGGATGGACGAAATGAAAAGGGTGACCGGGGACACGTGGATTTCCTTGTTCAATTGCGGCTAAACACGAGATTCGAGTTCGAACTCGAGTGCATTGTGTGGCATCAACATTTCTTCCCAAATAGAAATTCACATAACAATACCGAACAATTCCAATTTCACTGAGAGTTTGCATTCAATTTTTTTTTGTTTTGTTTGTTTGTAATAGACTTAAATTGTAAACTTTGCGAATATTTTTGGATTTGTTTGTTTAAAATCTTGTTATCACGAGATTCAAGTTTCAAAATTTCTTCTAAGTTGTTGTGTCCAACCATTATTGTTACAATTATTATTGTTAATATAGTGTATTAATGAATTAGAGACATCCACGACGTCTCTTAGTCTTATTATATAAACCGTGAGACCGATTGTAACATTTCTTCCTATTTTCAACTGATAAGACCAAACTGCAGAATAGACAGAGAACAGTTTACCTGAAGCGGAGCGTCCGTATTAATAAGAATTAACTTTAAAGAATTAAACCTTTAAAGATGAACATAGTCTTATAAGAATCTAAATATGATGAGCATAGTCAGAGATGAATCTTAAATCGACCAAATAACAAATAAAGTTATGTAAAACCAAACGAATTTCATTAGATTCACAACAACTGAGACTCCACAACGACAACAGAAGAAGATATCCCACAGTGTCCAGAAAACCATCCCTGGGACACGACAAAATTTTTATCTTTTTATAATACAAATAATTTGATATTGTTCAAGTTTCGATTGGAATAGATTTCTTTTGTTGGGTGCTGCTCTTGTAGTGTAATTTGAGATTTCGATGAATAATTAGGAAAAGTAATAAAGTGTCTACAATTAAATCTTCAAAGGCTCTTGTATTTAATTCTAAACATCGCATGGTGTGTGGACCTGGAACCTGAAAGATAGGAAAGATTCAGGCCCGAACAGTTTATTTTCTTCACCTAATTCCTTTTCACTATTATTTTTTTTGCAGCTTTTAATTTGATCACCGCCTGCAGAAAGTTTCTCTTAATCCTCCTCGGCTCACTTATTATGATGAGCATAGTCACAGATGAATCTTAAATCGACCAAGTAACAAATAAAGTTATGTAAAACCAAACGAATTTCATTAAATT